TCGTGGGCCCCCTGCAGCTCCGCCGACCTCAACTCCAACTCCATATATTCTGTCTCGCGGAGAAAAAAATCAGAGAGGAAGTTGCATCGCGTTTTACGATACGGAGCCGCCGCCAAGCCCTAATCTCTCTAGGGAGGGCTGATCTGGAGTCCGTTCGAGGCTCTGGAGAGGGGGATTCATCGTCGTCATCATCATAAACCATCCTCCATCACCAATTTCATGATGCTCACCGCCGTGCGTGAGTAATTCTATCGTAGGCTTGCTGGACGGTGATGGGTTGGATGAGATTTATCATGTAATCAAGTTAGTTTTGTTAGGGTTTGATCCCTAGTATCCACTATGTTCTGAGATTGATGTTGCTATGACTTTGCTATGCTTAATGCTTGTCACTAGGGCCCGAGTGCCATGATTTCAGATCTGAACCTATTATGTTTTCATGAATATATGTGTGTTCTTGATTCTATCTTGCAAGTCTACAGCCACCAATTATGTGTTATGATCCGACAACCCCGAAGTGACAATAATCAGGATACTTCTCGGTGATGACCGTAGTTTGAGGAGTTCATGTATTCACCATGTGTTAATGCTTTGGTCCGGTTCTCTATTAAAAGGGGGCCTTAATATCCCTTAGTTTTCGCTAGGACCCCGCTGCCACGGGAGGGTAGGACAAAAGATGGCATGCAAGTTCTTTTCCATAAGCACGTATGACTATATTCGGAATACATGCCTACATTACATTGATGAATTGGAGCTAGTTCTGTATCACCCTATGTTATAGCAATTACATAAGGAATCACATCCGACATAATTATCCATTCATTGATCCATTGCCTACGAGCTTTTCATATATTGTGCTTCGCTTATTTACTCTTCCGTTGCTATTGTTACAATCACTACAAAACCCCAAAAATATTACTTTTGCTATCTTTATCTTTACCACTGTTACCATTACTATCATACTACTTTGCTACTAAATACCTTGCTGCAGATACTAAGTTATCCAGGTGTGGTTGAATTGACAACTCAACTGCTAATACTCAAGAATATTCTTTGGCTCCCCTTGTGTCGAATCAATAAATTTGGGTTGAATACTCTACCCTTGAAAGCTGTTGCGATCCCCTACACTTGTGGGTTATCAAGACTAATTTCTGGCGCTGTTACCGGGAAGCATAGCTCTATTCTCTGAGTCACTTGGGATTTAAATCTGTTGATCACTATGAAGAACTTGAAAGACGCAAAAACTAAAATTTATCCCTCAACTACGAGGGGGGGGGGGTAAGGAACTGCCATCTAGCTCTGCACTAGATTCTCCTTCTGTTATGAATAAGCTTGCGACACCTAAACCTTCTACTGCTATGAATTCTGATATGTCGCATGTTATTGATGATGCCACTTCTGCTATGCATGATACTTATGATGAAACTACTTCTACGCTTGATACCACTGTGCCATTAGGTGAATTTCTTGATGAACAATTTGCTAAGGCTAGAGAGAATGAAATTATTGAAGATGCTATTATTGATGATAGTGATGATGAAAGATCTCTGAACGATTATGAATTGCCTATTGTTTCTGAGGGTTATGTTATGGATGAAGAAACTGCTAGAGATTTTCTTTCTTGCAATGATAGATCAGATCTTAAGAAATTGTTAGCTAAGCTGAAACGAAAGACTTTAAATGCTAGAATGAAACATGACCCTGCTTTTGCCACTTCACCTATCTTTGTTACTGATAAGGAATATGAATTCTCTGTTGATCGTGAGATTATTACTTTAGTTGATTCCGATCCTTTTTATGGCACTGAATCTAAAACTGTTGTGGCACATCTTACCAAGTTAAATGATATAGCCACCCTGTTTACTAATGATGAGACGTCTCGCTATTATTACGTACTTAAGATATTTCCGTTCTCATTAAAGGGTGATGCTAAGACTTGGTTTAATTCTCTTCCTCCTGGTTGTGTGCGTAGTCCCCGGGATATGATTTATTACTTCTCTACTAAATATTTCCCTGCTCATAAGAAACAAGCTGCCTTGCGGGAAATATATAACTTTGTGCAAATCGAAGAAGAGAGTCTCCCACAAGCTTGGGGGAGGCTTCTCCGATTACTTAATGCTTTTCCTGATCATCCTCCTAAGAAAAATGAAATACTTGATATCTTTTATAATGGACTAACTGATGCTTCCAAGGACCACTTGGATAGTTGTGCTGGTTGTGTTTTCAGGGAAAGAACAGTCGGCGAAGCTGAATTGCTATTGAATAATATGTTGGCTAATGAAAATAATTGGATTCTTCCTGAGCCAATTCCTGAGGCAATTCCTGAACTAATTGAGCCAACTCCTGAGCCTATACCTAAACCTACTCTGAAGAACCGAGGTGTTCTATTTCTCAGTCCTGAAGATACGCAAGAGGCAAAGAAATCAATGAAAGAGAAAGGTATTAAAGCTGAAGACGTTAAGAATTTACCTCCTATTAAAGAAATATATGGTCAATACACCGCCTGTCGAAGAACCACATTGTCTTGATAACCCGAACAGGTAGTAAAGGTAAATTCTCTCTATAGATACAATAAGGATGAAATCCCTTCTACTAAATTTCAAAGTCCATGCTTATATGAATTTGATGATTTCATGAATAGACAAGCAAATTTCAATGATTATGTTGGTAGACAATTGAAGAATAATGCTTATATGATAGGACACTTCAAAGATTATATAGCTAGAGTTAAAGGTGAACTTAAACTCACTAGTAAACATGCTTCTATGGTTGCTACTCAAGCTGAACAAGTACTTAAAGCTCAGAATGAATTGCTAGTTGAACTAAATAATAAACATGACTTTGCTGTTAGAGTGGCTACTAGAACTGGTAAAATGACTCGGGAACCTTTGTATCCTGAAGGCCACCCTAAGAGAATTGAACAAGATTCTCAGAATAATAATCTAGATGCTCCTAGTTCTTCTAAGAAGAAGAAAAGGAAGAAGGATAGGACTTTACATGCTTCTAGTGAACCTAATGTAGAAACACATGAGAATCCTAATAATACTTCTATCTCTGATGCTGAAACACAATCCGGAGATGAACATGAACCTGATGATAATGCTAATAATGATGTTCATGTAGATGCTCAACCTAGTAATAACAATGATATAGAAACTGAACCTGCAGTTGGTCTTGATAACCCACAATCAAGAAACCAACGTTATGATAAGAGAGATTTTGTTGCTAGGAAGCATGGTAGAGAAAGAGAACCATGGGTTCAGAAACCCATGGCCTTTCCTCCTAAACCATCCAAGACAAAGGATGATGAGGACTTTGAGCATTTTTCCGAAATGATTAGACATATTTTCTTAGCATGCGCTTAACTGATATGCTTAAATTAAATCCTTATGCTAAGTATATGAAAGATATCATCACCAATAAGAGGAAAATACCTGAAGCTGAGATTTCCATCATGCTTGGCAACTATACCTTTAAGGGTGGAATACCTAAGAAACTTGGTGATCCCGGAGTACCCACTATACCATGCTCCATTATGAGAAATTATGTTAAAATTGTTTTATGTGATTTAGGAGCCGGTGTTAGTGTTATGCCTCTTTCCCTGTACCGTAGACTTGAATTAAGTAAGTTGACACCCACTGAGATATCCTTGCAAATGGCTGACAAATCAACTGCTATACCTGTCGGCATTTGTGAGGACGTGCTTGTTGTTGTTGCGAATGTTACTATTTTAACAGACTTCGTTATTCTTGATATTCCCGAGGAAGAACGGAATTAAAGGGAAGGTTACTGGAGGTAGGAGAAGATAAGCACGCACAGGCTGCATACCAGCTCGTATCCCTCCCATCTCCCCTCGTGCAAGTGGCCCACCTTGTGCGCTCGCCTCTCGAGAGAAACTACCGTTTCCTGGGTTCGCAGCGAGCCAGGTGCAGAGGTGCTTTGAGTTTCGTGCTATGCAGGCCCAATAGTAAAAACAGGCAACCAAACAGCCCGTTCGCTTCCTGTGCGGGCCTGGTTGGGCCTCACACGCAACCAAACACGCCCTAAGGTTCTGAGAGGTATCTTACTGCCGGTCTCGACAACGTCAACATTAATGAAGCCGGTGAAGGTTGGCTTGTAGAGGTCGTCGGCATAGGACGACCTGATTTTTGCTATAAATTTCGTCGTGGAGTCCGACTCGTTGGCCCAACCCCATAGGATGTGGCGTTGCTTCACCGGGTCGAGGAACATTTGGGATGCGTGCAAGTTACCGTAGTCGCAGCGGAGCCTGTAGTTGCCGTCTCTGAGCGCCGCATCGGGCACGTACGTCTCGGTGCATGGTCGTATGCACCGAAGGCGTAGTACTCGAACCACGTAAGGTCGAGGCTCACCTTGAACATATGTTCTTGGGAGGCAAATGTGACCACTGGCGG